ATACTTGGGATTGCGCTTGCCACTTTTTGATAAGTAACCAGACTTGGCCACAACATGCTACAACTACTTAGCATTGGTCTCGAGAGTTGGACGGTTGCAAGGGGGGCTTACAGCTTTCTTTGGGAGGTAGGCATAAAAGCAAATATGCTTGGCCGTGATATAGAGAAAGCCCTGGAGGAGCACGCTTTGTAATAACCAACATGGGTACTCTGCAGTCAACTATTAGCCAAAAACCAGCAAATAAATACAGAAGTATGAAGCAACATCCACGGTCATTACGGGGACACGAGACACCTACCCTCTATGACTTGTTCTGGCTCGTCAAACTCGAAAATTTCCATTAATCGCTTGGCCAATGCAGAAGATTCGTCACTGTCACCGCTCGCATCAAGATCGCTGGATCGCCTCTCCATATCGAAACTGGGTCTGCTGGCAATCTCAGCTCTAGCCTGCAGCATTCGGCTCATAACTGGTGCAAGCCTGTTGTCTTCCTTGTCCTGCGGCATTGCAGATGTGGCAAGGTCGGCAGATTCTCGTGCATCGTCCGACGAATCCATCAGAGGCGCGGATAATCGACTCGCTTCTCGGTTTTTGCTTTTCCGTTTCGGTAGTGTGGAAAGTGATTTTAATAGTCTGTGGCCAGAGGAAAGCTTCTTCTTGTGACCCCGTCTGGCGTTCTTATCCCGCGGCGGAAGTATGATGGTCTGAGAAAGATCCCGACTGCCATTAGAGCTTTTTGATTGCTCACTGTCTTCCTCGTCGCTGCTTCCGTCGTCAAAGCGGGTGTTGAAGTCTACCCGCGAGCCTGCTGCTGCTATAAGACCGAATATACTCTGATTCATGTTGACAGACATGGCTCGGCCGCGTTTCGAGGCCGGATCGTTAGGCGAGTCCTCATCGTCGCTGTCGCTGTGTTTCAGAAGGTCGGGGAGATCGGGGAGAGTAGCGGAGGGATCATCGTGTCTCTTTTTAAAAGGGTTCCGACCGATACGTCTCTGTCTACCACCATCATCAGCGCCAGCAGACTGGCCAGAGCCGGCGCCGGCGCCGTCGCCGCCTTCAGGCGACAAGGACGGGAAGCTGTCCATGAGTTCGATGTTGCAGGGCAAAGCGGGGGACTCGATTCGAGGCGTCGATATTGGCTTAGGCAAAAGAATTAGGGTAGTTTCGAGATGCAGCTAACGGCGGTAGCTGAGAGGTAATGGCGATGGCGTGGCTAATGGTGCACCGCAAGATTCTGGAATGGCGGAGCTGGATGAGGTCGCCAGCAGGGCCAGGCAAAGGAACGAGCAAAGAGAGCAAATGGTCCGCGTCAGGAGCGAGACGCCAAGGCCTATGGACGCAGAGGCGGAGGCAGAGGCAGCTCCCCGCAAAAACCAGGGCGCGATGGACGCAGAGCAAATACTATGAAGCGTCGAGATGGGATCTTTGGAGGTTGAAGCCAAAGTGACCTCTGCATTGCAAGGGGCAAACGTCAACTGGCGATGCCATCGGGCAGGCAGGTATGCACCGAGCATCGACCAATGCAACCCGACATACCCTTGGCGTCTGTTTAAGTGGATAAGCAGGGGCAGAGACGGGTGGATTCACGGGCTGGCTGGGGGAGAAGGAAGGGGCCGGCGTGGGCAAGGGCGCAAGCGGGCAGGTGTCAACACTGAATGAAGAAGTCTGGTGGTACAAAAGTCAACTGGTGCATGCATGCCTTGTGCTGCCAGGCTGAATAAAGTTGTGACGGCCCCAGCCCCAGGCGCTTTGTACGGAGTTGGTCAGTGCTATAACTGTGCTAATAGTGCCAGGCACTATAATTATACATTGGATTTCAATGTTCCGCGCGAGGCCACACGAGGCTCTACTCTGTCTGGTCTGTCTGGGTCTAGTACTCGGCTTGTGCAGTGCAGCTGCTCCTGCATCTCACCGTCGACACTTTCTTTTGTGTGCTCGCCTCGACTGTATTCTTTTTTTTTTGCTTCTTCCGGGGCACCCAATCCGATTCCCGCCGCCGCCATTCGCGGCCCTGCCCAGCCACCGTGTTACGACGCAAACACCGGACTTGAGACAATTGAGAAAAACAAATCGGTCCAGTCATCGATGGGTTCGGCAGATGGGCCAACGGCGGACGCCACATGCAAGCACGGTTTAGCGCCTGGCGGTGCCGCTGCAGTGCTGGACATGTGGAACTGACCAGCGATTCTTGCAGTGTTGAATGGCTGTACGGTGACTCGAACTTTGTCGTCACCACTCCCCAGTGCCGTCGAGGCGACTCGAGGCATCGAAATGATTGATCTGGTGGTGGTCAAGCTGAGGTTTGGCAAGTGACATTGATCACCCACAAAAGTACGCCCTACTCCGTACTCCGTAACACGTGTCGAGAAGGAAGCGCGCTGATATCTTGGCCATTGTTTAGCATTTTTCTCGTCCCGAAAGCCAACGAATCTACACTTGGGCCCAACAATGCTGCTGTAGGCATCGGCATTTGCTACTCAGAACTGGCCTGCGAGATGCCTAGACTCTACCTAGTCCAACGTCGACATGACAGCGCCGAATGGCCCGACCGGTAGACCATCGCATGTGTCGTTTCTTGGTATACTTCACCTCGCCCACGATACCTACGCACCTCTCGGTTGGTCCCATGCTGTTCATCCTCTCAGCAAACGGCATGGTCACCTGCCAAAGAAGCTCCACCACATAGACAACGAAGCAACTTGGCGTGACCCTGATGCACGCGCCGTGCCAGGTCGATGCAATTTCAACCCGCATGACCATGTACGGAAACGGATGTACCTAGTCGGGCATATATGCATACATGCCAACCAAGGGCAAAGGGTTTCGTGACCTTGACGTTGCCCATTTACATCGCTTGAGTATGTGTATTCCCGTGCAGTCTCCATGAGATGATGCCATTCTACCCGTAATATGTTACCCCTGTCAAGTCAAGTCTGACCTGAGCTCTCGGGCACCTTGCACACCCCATCCATTCGACTACATCATCGAGCACCTTGTGACAATATCCGTGACATGTGCCATGATGACCGCCGTCGCGCGGATATAGATAGAACCTGACAATCGTCTTCCCACTCCTCAACCCCGAACTGAGCAATAACAATAACCTCTTCTCCAAAATTGCATCGCCAAGCAGGCTGACGTCAGATGCAAGCCAAAGTATACCGAGCCACCGAGATTCATAACGAGTCTTATTATTTAGGCATATGTAGACTGACATTCGTTTCAGCTTCTGGTGTCGGTCTCTACGATACAGCCAATTGCTGCCTACCTAGGTAGTTGCCAAGACCCTGACGACCCTCAACGCAGATCAACAAGACGTGGCGATTAAGAACTCGAGTAACAGGTCTTCTCGTTGTGTTCCAGTATCGTAGCCCTCTACCTGTGACTTCTACACGCCTTGCACCCTGCCTGCATGATTGATTCTATCGCAATGGACTACAAACTTACTATTGCTCCGCCTCTCCCGTCTTCAAAACGATGGTTCATTCCATTCAGTCTACGCATCGCCATTATCGTGTGCGGCGTACTGGTTCTCGCATTGACCGGTCAACCGGCGTCAACCAAAAATGTCATACCTATTCTCTTCCTGGGCCCCCCGGTACGTCCCTTATCACAAATACCCAATAAAAAGAAGAGCATTAACTCATCACTTCAGGCCGGTCTTTCGATACTCTGGTCCGCGGCAGACGCAGCTTGCTACTTTATTCACCCTTCGCACCATGGCATAACTCCTGGCGCACGGGTGGGCATGGATCTCATCATCTCGCTTGCCTACATATCTCTCGAGATAGTCAACGGAATCCTTATAACAGGCTGGACGGACGAGGAGTATCCCTCAAATACAAAGGACTCGGATCGAATTCATGCCATGGTTGAGGCGGCGCTGGCGTTTGGAGGAATCGCTACGTAAGTCATGTCTGGGGGCTGGGGTAATTTCGTGTTGCTGATTTGGATAGAATCATCCATGTTGGTCTTTTCGTCGTGGCATGTGTGGAAACGCACCGCGAGAACACAGAAGTGAAGGTGCTCAGGGCGAATGCTCTGGCCCTTGGGAATATGCGAGGTTGAGCGGTTATGTACAGTTTGACAAGATTGGGTGGATATCGAGAATCTATCCGTGATGAATTACTTGGGAATCCTTGTAGTAGATGTATTCGCATAGATTATGAGGTTGGAGCGAGCTAGCTTGTATTTAAGTTGACAGGAGACTAGTATTTCAATATAATATTCAGCACTGCTGAACCTCATAGAACACTAAAGAAAGGGCAAGTCTAGATTTCCTGCCCTTGAGGAATGAAAGGCAACTACTTTTGATATTTCATGGGTCTTCAACGGGTTATATTTATGCATTGTTGTAAAATATCAATCCTGACATGATTCGGGTTTCACAACGACATTAATAGAGTAGCAACACTTTGATGGAGTCACATGTATGTATGATTATGATTGTCTCAAAATATGGAAAGAAGATTGTCCAGGCCAGCCAAGAAGCCCCCAAAACTTCTCAAATCATTTCGCTTATAGAGCAGTATCTATAATATGGTCCCGTTCTGTGCTCTTATGTCTGGTTTTCTCCCATCTGTATGTCACACTTTGGCCTTGAGATGCTGAAGACCAGTCGTATTACTTATCAATCTTGTTCTAAGGCGTGACGCCCTATCATGTAAATGTATCGTAGTAGGTGATAAAATTCAATCCTTCAGTGTCGTCTATTTTACAGTAGTTAAGCTGCTTCAGTACTATAATCACAATTCCCAGATCTTAAAAAGAGATCATTTCATTCATAGAATGGTATCCCTCTCGTTGAAAGTTGAATGCGATTAGCGACTCCCCCGTCTCCTTTACCATAACTATACGCATTAATATAACTAATGCTTGCCATGGTCAATGAAATCGACCTCACCAAGTCACGCCAGCATATCCGTTCACAGCTTTAGCGGCTATATTGCATAAATGCCCACCTTGACACAGTGACTGACTAAACTCATCCCGGCCGCTTAATGACTAATTTCAGAGGTAGGAGTACTCGAATCTGAGTCACCTTCTGGGGTTAGATTATTGATGGCGGCATTAAGTGCCTCCTCGCAGCTATTTTCGGCCCAGGCCTGTACAAAATCGACCATTGCCTTGTCGCAAGCTGGAGAATGGCTTTCTGAGGCCGTACTATCGTCTTGGCCTCCATTGTTTGTTCCGTCGCAGCCGTTTTGTTGCCAGGCTTGTTGCAATTCAAGGCTAGGTTTTTTACATGCAGTAACTTGTTCGGAGTTTGCCACGCTATCCGGAGCTAGTTCGGCCTCCTGGCGGCGAAGGACGGGATTGGAAGTGGCCAGGACAGACAGGACGGCGAGGATAGTAAAGTATTTCATGATCAAAGTTGTTCTATAACGGTAGGACGATGACGTGGAGTTGGTTGAGCTGAAAAGCGTGCAGCATATAAAGTAGGTGTTGAATGTATAAATAGAGTGGTTTAGACAGTATGCAGGCCACAACACAGAACATAAATGCCATTGGGACACATCTGATCTTTGCCAATCGCTCTCGGCATAACAGGTCTACGCATATCTATGCGACCTACTCCCTCCATTGAGCTGAGTCAGGGCCAGGCATCTATTATTGGGAAATGAAGCCAGTCGGCTTTAAGAGCGCCCCACGGAGGGCCGCTCACAGGACATCCAAGCACCTATATTACACCAAATACTTTATAGTAATAATGCACCCACTCTGCACATGGGACTTTCCGAGGGCCTGTTTACCGTTTACCGTCCTAGAAGAAGTCCCCCATAAAACCAGATTAGCTTACCAGATGCAAGGCTTGAATGGTACTGCCGTCTGCTTCGAAAAAGTGGGATATGACGCGAGTAGGTGGCTTGATTTGACTATTACCGATGATGAAGACCAGACATACTAGATTCATGCGAATGCTTCTCCTGACGCGGCATGTCATGCCAGTCGACGCCAAAGCCATTCATTCCAAGCTGAAAAGACATTACTAGCTTAACAAATACCGTTGATATTATCTATCCAAATTCCCGTGGTAATAGCCAATGCTAAGAAAAACTTATTAAAAGAGATTCGGTGGTGAGAAAATTGCGAGGCGGACATGACTCTTACATGTAGTGCGCTTCATCACTAGTATTTGGCCGGTTGTCTTGTATTAATAGGCGTTGGATGCATTCTAGGCCATCACCTCTTGGTTTATTTATTAGCCATGCAAGTTATTCCGCTTTGTTCAAGTCACCGCAGCAACTATACAGGCATGCGCATGGGGTAATTGGAATACCAGCGAGATAAAAAATATATATGACGCAGTTTACATAAGCGCATTAACTAGAACTATCCATTTAGAGTTAGTATATGATAATAATATCACTCTCTCTATAAAGTGCGGATATCGTTACTAGTTAACAGTGCAACATGATATAGACGACGCTTATAAAGTGTGATGCGACCAGATGCCACCCGGTATCGCTTGCAGTAGCACATCCAATACAACCCCTGAATTGTTGTCAACTGAAGACCTAGCTCTGCTTGCTCGCGCAGTACGTACCGCTCGAACAATTGCCGTATACTCGCCCCTGTTAGTTAGCTTCAGCTGTGAGACGAGGTCCATACAAAAATGACTATTTTTAGAGCTTCAGCCATGCCTGTCCGCGTGCGACTCTACGATTCAGAAAATTTCACTGATATCAAGATCCATGTATATACTGGGCGCCGCTCCGGTGGAAGACGTTGGCCCACCTCCGTAAATCCGGCATTATCTCCGACTATTTAATCACAAGCCTCGCAAATCCATGCTCAATCTCTCGTGTTCGCTATAGGCCAAAGGTAGCAAATAGATTACTTTTACGGTACACGGAAATGTCCTGTTACACAAGGGCTACGGTCACGAGAACTAGGGCAAAGTCCCTCACTGACTTCTTGTATTTAAGGAGGTCTTTGGTCAACGAGGCCTTAAGGAAAACCAAGGACCTTTGATTCCAAAGACTGTTATTAGATGAATTGATCCATTGACTTCATGCCCTCTATTGAGCCCTTGTCACACATATGGAGTGGAGTGGAGTGGATTCAGTGGAAGTTCATGGGTTAGGGTCTGCTAGGATGATATCTCCTCGGCATATCCGTCTCGCATTTCAGACCAAGTGAATTATGCCATGGGGATACTGGCAGCTGAGACTCGAGGGCCTGACTCTAAATTCATACCATGACAGTACATGGTCCGGTGAGAAATTGACTGAAAATAATATATAACGAACCCTGGCGCAAGTGATGCTGCGAATGCAATCTGCATTGCCCAGGCTTTCGCAAAAGCAAACCGCTGCCATACTTGGGTACGCATTCCTCAGGGATACTGGTGCCCAGTTTTAATATCATTCCCCCCCAGAATCCTTCCACAATGAAGACAAGTCTGTTGGTCTTGATAGCCACTCTGGCACTGCTTCTTGGGCTTTGCCAGAGCCAGCTAGAGTCAACGCACAGGACCGAGATAGCACTTGATCGTCGCCAAGCAGGCGATTTTGATGCTGAATTCCCGGAATATGTCTACCGCGGCGAGACGGGGAGGAGCCCAGCAGATGTCGAGAAGGACGGGGGCCTATATTCGCGAGGCGTGCAGAAACAACGAGCGGGAACTGCACTTTCTGCCGTTGAACTACAAGAAGGCAGCAGCCTATTCCATCATGCGGCAGGGGAAACGGCCGAATTTACACGCTACGTTTCGACAAGTGCTGATCCCGGTGTGGGACTCACATTTGCCGTTAACGATGATGTGCCTGAGCAAAAGGGCTACATCTACCGAATTCACACGGATAAACGAATGGTGGACGTGAATAGGTCTCTGGGAAAATACTCTCCCTACGCCGCGCAAAAAGAGCATGCGGCTATTGGCTTCATCCCTTATGACCAGATCGAAGGCTGGTGGGAAGTCACCTACAAGGACGACTTTTCCGACCCAAAAATCGGTAAGCAGAGTCAAGAAAAGCTACGACAGGGCAAGTTTAAGGGATTTAAGAAAAACCCCAAGTTCAACAAGGGTAGTTTCCAAAAGCTACGAGGCACCGGCGCGGCACCGCAGCTTGCCGGGTTCCCTCGCCTCTCCCCAGCATGGCAGGACGACACGTGGAAAGCATTCAAGACACAGGCAGTAGAGAAGAACCTCGACGACTTGATCAGCTCCATATGCGCCGGCAAGTCGACCAAGAGAGACGCGGGCTGCATGACGCGTCTCGGCCACCAGGAAACCACCGGTCTCGCCAGGCCAAAACCCCCCAAGAAGCCTTCAACCGCTTCCAACCCCGACGGCAAGCCGCCAAAGTCCAAGGTGAGCAGCAAGCGTCCGATTTACAAGTCGAGCAAAGTCCGGGTGACCAAGGCTGTGGGCAAGGCCGCTGCTTTTACTCTTATCCTGCCGTACGCGAGGGACCTGCTCGAGGCCATCAAGCAATGGGACAACCCTATCGGCGCGGCGGTCCGCTGGTTCGACGACGCCATAGCTTCTATCCAGGAGGCCATTGGGGGCCCCTCGCGCGATGACATTGACGGAAACGATCTCAAGGCCTCGATTATATGCGCATTAAAAGGAGGGCGAGAGAGCGAGACGATTCAAGGGCGAAAGAGCCATTTCTGCACCCCTACAAAAGATGAATTCACGGAGAGCCTGCAGAGGGACTTTAAAAAGGGCAGGATTGACGAGCTTATCCAGGGTTGTAGAGGCGTCGACGTGTATAACGGTGGTGATCCGCACGTTTGGCGGTGGTCTCAGAGACGCTGCGAGGCGCTCCAGCGTACTGATGAATACGCGGAGCGGATATGGGAAATGGGCCTCACTGGGCTCCTGGATTCTTGCTCTGAACTAGAGACTAACCCTCCAGGGAATGAGGATCTTCGAATCAAGTTGGAGGATCACTGTACCGCGTTCCAAGACGGGGTAGAAAGGGCGGAAAAGGCTGCGAAAAAACCGGTCGTGGGGATCCCAAAAATTACAGCGGGCAAATGCAAGGTAGGTTCAATGTTGTTTTGGGAAACATGCCAGCGATGCTGTATTCTACATGCGTGTTTGCAACTAACTGCATGGATAGTGTGACGCCTACCACTTACAACCATTTAGCGAGCACTGCGGGAGGCTATGTCGGGCGTCTTATGCCTTGGGCGGTTGGGGCGCCCTGTAAAGAAACCATTTCATATACCTGTTTGACAGGATACTGCATTAGCACTTGGAGGAGTTGTGCCGCGAATAAATACGCTCATGGCACGCCTTGCGATGCTAAGCCGTGGTGAAGGGGGGTAGAATCAGCCAAAGGGCTGTGACGTTGTTCAAGCGAAAGAGCTTATTTCAGAATACTTGCTCTTTCCGAGAGCTACACAGAATCGTACAGAGCCGTGTTTGAACTTGTAGAGATTCCGTACAAGAAGCAGTCGTCTGCCATGCTGCCGATGCCGCATCTTGACATCCACACCAGGAGCAACGTCACGGCATCACCCCAACGCAGCCTTCAACTCGTCATACGTCGGGCCCAACTCCCTCAATATCTCGACGGCACCCGCCGTATCCCCCGCGACCAAGGGATACTGCAACCCCCCAACCAACTGGGCCTGTCTCGCCATGACGTCCGCGGCATCCGCGTACCCAATCCTCCGCAGGCACGTAGCCCCGTCGGCAAGACGCCGCGCGCCCACCCTTACGGCAAAGTAAACAAGCGGATTCCTCACGCCCGGGTGGAAATTCGTCTGGATAATCTCGGCCAGGCGGTCCGCGGCCGACGCGTTGCCACACGACCCCGGCGGCATGCCGCCTGCCTCGACGGCCTCCATGCCGAGCCACCGGCGGGCATTCGGCAAAGACCGCCGGATGACCTCCTCCTCGGTAAACACCCGCACGCGGCGAAACTCGCTACGCATCGTGAACGACGTCCCGTAGCCGAGGGAATCCGTCCTCCAGGAGCGCAGGAACTCGGACACGGGGATGGACGCGTACGGGAAGCCGTGGGGGTCGTGCAGACGCAGCCGCAGCCCGTCGCCGTCGATGCCCAAGACGACGACGTAGTGGTCTGCCCCGATGGGGCCCTTGTTTCCCGGCTGATAGCCAAGGTAGCCCATCTCGAGGGGTCCCGCGAAGACGGGGCCCTGCCGGAGCTCCCGCTGTAAACAAGCAAGCGCGTCATCTGCGTCTTTGCCAATGGTGAGTTTGGACGTCCACCCCGCGGCGGTGAGCATGTCGTCAAAGGCCCGCGTCGGGTCCCAGCCAAAGGGGTCGAAAAAGACGAGCTCCTTGCCGACGACCTGCATGCCGAAGGGGCTGCACGTGGCGAATTCGAGGACGGCGGTGGACGGGGTTTCGGCGCCCATGACCATGGCGAACGAGTTGGCGTAGCAGTAGGGGCCGGAGCCGACGTAGGAGTGGTGTGTCATTTTGATGGGCTGAGACTGCAGAGGAAGGGTAGGGGATTGCTGCTTGATGAACATACGTGAGAGGGCGCTTTTCGTTGCGATGCGGGCGGATTGGGCGTGTATAAACGGCCGCTTATATGGTTCATTGTCCGAAATCTAGAAGATACGCGGGGAATTTGCACATGCTCAGCTACCCCTATTAGAGCCAATAGCCATTCGCCAGCACCAGGCACTTTTGCCAGAAAGGAAGCAGGCTACGCGCGTTGCTTGGCTGGTGAGCGCAGGCGGTGATGTCAAGCACGCACTACCAGCGCGAATGGCAGCGACTTCGTGAACCGGCGCACCCGCGTTATACACGTCGTTTACGTCGTTTACCGGTTTGGGCCTCGATAGGGTCGACGGTAGTACTCCAATTGCCTGCAGCAACGGCTGAGGCACCTAGCATTGCCTTGATACACACCGCGGGACATGGATCTTTCGGAGGCTGTTGGCTCCGTCGCCCGGATGAAGCCGGTCAAACCGGCGGTTTTGCCGGGGCAGGCGCCGAGATGGCCGCCGAGTCAACACCAACTGTTGTTGGCTGCTGGGACAGAATGTATTCTCATTAAATTCAATGTTATTATTAAAAAAAAACAAAAAAGAGGCTAGCTCATCACCAGGACCCAGTATTAGCACAATCAGGAGTCGTACCTGGCTTAATTGACAGTAACGCAATAAAAAAACAGTACACGCATCGCGATACGTCAAATCCACTAGCTCAAGAGGTGATTCATGACCTTAGGCGCCGGCGAAAGCCTGGAGAATGTATTCTCACGAGAGGGATTCAACATTGACGCCGCTTTCTCGCCAATTCATTTGCCCTCATCCTTCTCGCCATCCGAGACGGCTCGGCCGTGAATCACATCTCTAAGTTCTTTCTGTGGGGGCACATGGGCGCACAATAACCCCCGGTGCCCTCCGGCTGAGCCACCTCCATCTCGCCCGACTCCTCTCATCTCCCTCGAGTATACAAGACCGCCAAACAGGGCCAAAAGCCCATTCCCTCGCCGCTCAGCACCATAAACCACCTTGCCCATCCAGTCCAGTCCCAACCCGTCGCAACCATGCCCCTCTTCCCCGCCTCCCTCATCTCACCAGAGGTCGCCTCTTCCCTCCCAGAAGGCTTCACCATCCGGCCCCTCGAAAAGGGAGACTACGCCAAGGGCTTCCTCGCATGCCTCCAGGATCTCACCTGGACGGGGGACCAGACGGAGCACGAGTTCAACGAGCGCTACGACGAGATGGACACGCACGGCAAGGGACCCTACTACTATGTCGTCATAGAGCACGCCGGGCGCATCGTCGGCACGGGAGCCGTCGTCGTCGAAAAGAAGTTGTACGTTCACGCAATTATCCCCAGCGTATCGCGCACGCCCCTGACACGAGCAGCATCTGGAACCGCGCGAGCGTAGGCCACGTCGAGGAAATCTGCATCGCCAAGGCCTACCAGGCCAAGGGCCTCGGCCTCAAGATGATCAATGCCCTCGACTCGGTGGCCAGGAATGTCGGATGCACCAAGAGTCTTCTCAACTGCGATGCTGCGAAGAGCGGCTTCTACCGCAAGTGCGGGTATGCGTCTGCCGGCATGGAGATGCAGCATCCCTTCAAGAGCGACGAGCAGACGCAGTGATGCGAAGCGTCGAGCGTGTGGTGCTTTTGTTTCGCTTGTGCCAGAGGGCAAGACACGCCCGTCACGTACATAGTCATGCCAGACATTACTCTCTAAAGCATCCATCATTCTCTCCTCGGCCCTTGACAAGCATTTCCAGTGCATCTTTTGTTTTGTGAATCGCAAGCCACTCGTCATCCTTCAACTACGCCACCAATAGTCTCTCCCACTGTTGGAAAATCTGTCCATGTTAGTACCGTCAATGGCTCACTCAAAGTCAAAGACCCATCAGCAGTCTTGTAGGATGACAGATGATTGCCGCTGTATCACCTTCTCCAAGCACCAAATCCGCCACGGCCGCGATCAGCACAACCTGCACCTTGGACTAGATATATACAAAAGTGTTCACATTATAAGTCTACCGTCTCAAGTACCATTTGCGCCTTGAGCTTCTTTAGATGTAGGCTGGCAATTTGTGCTTCCGAAAATCGCTGTTCTTCAGATACAGACGTGTTGACATAGCCAGCACTTCGTCCACAATCCGTCATGGCACCCATCGTCGTCCCTGAGAATTAACCCGAGAAACGACCCTACGCAGGCGGAGCACAGGTTTCCGCGTTTCGCTCCAACCCCCCCTTGCTCCTCTCACCATCCCGAAGACTGGGTATCTTCCACGACGTGCTGCTTCGCCACGGCCGGTATCGGCTACAGCCGGCTTCCGGACGGGACTCTGCTCACAGATGCAGTATCTTCTTAGCCAGAGAAATAGCTTAGCGCAGAGCATCTGGCCAGATGTGGCGCTGGCACCAAACTCCTGGTGAAGCTGCTGGATGCCGGCTAGAGACTGCCTGTCCACGCTCACCCTCATGCCGATTGGTCCAGGCAGCACCTTGGACGAAATCACGGCAAAGCGGAAGCCTGGTATATCCTGACACCCGGCTCGGTGTGCCTTGGATTAAAGGAAGCGATTGACAACGGGGAGCTACTGCAACTTGTCGAGACGGGGCGGGGAACGAACCTGCTGGATCGTATGCACAAGTTTGACCTTTTGCCGCATCAGACGCTGCACGTTCCGCCGGGTACATTGCACGCTATTAGTGAAGGCATCATGGTTGTTGAGATCCAGAGGACAGAGGATCTTTCCGTCCTGTGCGAATGGGACGGGTTTGCTATTCATGGCCAAAAGGACGGCCATCTCGGGCTTGGGTTTCCGACTGCTCTCACAGCCGTGGATTACGTTCAGATCAAGCAATGGGTAACGTCGGGAGTTGTCGCAAAGAGCGTTTTGGCTGCAGAGTCCACCAAGCACTTTGGACTTGAGAGAATCCGTGTAAAAGGTTCAGCGAGCACCGAGTGCGGACTCGCCATTCTAGTCGTTCTTGATGGCAAGTTGTTGTTGCAAACTTCGCACTCTGATCCCTTGCCACTATCCAAGGGGTTCACAGTGGTGATTCCCCATGAAGAAGGCGAGCAAAGTTTACAAGGGGAGGCTGATGCGCTGATTGCTCGACCGCCTCAGTGAACCCGTAGGTGTGGTCCTTTTAAACTGCGCTTGTACCATCGTGACGGAATTTGGGCAGAACACACAGGTTTCCCTTCTGCTCATGGAGTTGCTTGATGCGGTTGGCAAACGTCTCTTGTCATGGGAATATACCTTGCCGAGGGGGTTGCGACAACAGCTTCCAAATCGGCAAACGCCCCGTCAACTCGTCTTGCTGGCGTATCAGTTTCAGACACATCGTCTGAAAGGTGAGCAAATGGCTGTTCATCGTTATCGAGTTCGTCATGGTGCAAAGACTGCACTGGGGTGGTTGAAGCGGCGTGACTTGTATTGAAGCCCCAACTTGGGAATACGTTCTTCTGGTTAAAGCCGCGGCCAGAATCTTCAGATTGTTGAACGATGTTCAATGGAACCGGGGCCAAAATGAATGGATTACCACACGGGATCCTGTTCATCACGGGCCTAAGAAAAGGTAGACAGGCTGAAATTATTAGCACGCAACTAACTAGCCTCTTGAGACCATTGTGCGACTTACCGCAGACAATGGCAGTGTTGCCTTCGACAAAGGACCAGATGCCCACTGTGACAAAGTTCCAGGTAATATCAGGGTCTTCCAGATCCAGCGATAGAAGATGGTAAAATCGTATCATGGAAATAATGGTGACGCTGGCAAACGGGGTTAGACATGCCAACAAGGGCCCATCCGCTGGGTTGGACTCACAATACTCCAGCTAGAAAGACACAACCCAGAGCAATTTTCTGAATGCGCGGCAGCTGAAGCCTCCATACATACGGCACCGGGAGCATCAACATTACCAAGTCGGTCACAATGGTTGGAATTGCATTTGCGTAAAAGAACTTGACGGGGTCAACTTCGCAGGTGTAGTTGTTGGCGCTCATCGAGTTGGCGGGATCGAAACGCTCCCAAATTGCGCGAGTAGGAAGGCACTGTAGAAATGTAACGAGAAGCTGTAACACCATGTCAAAGATGAACTCATTTTTGCTGCATTGTACATCAATCCACACGTACTACCGCCGCACCCCAGATACACACTATGGATGCGAGAATGAGAATCGGCCATTGGATCGAGTCGCGAACAGAAAATGATCGCCAGAAAAATGACAAGATGGAAAGTTCGACAAATACTAATGTGAGGGTATAGCAGATTTCGGCGACAAACAATCCGAGTGCCCAGGCGTACAGGCAATCGCGCTTTGCCGCCCAAACGTGTCTTCCGAGTCCATGGCTGACGGCTATCCTTGTATTAGTAGCGGTACGTCGCAATGATTCGCGCTTCGTATATATATAAACGGCATGTTGAGACGTACCGTATGCTGCCATGCCGAGAACATGACCCAATGACGGTGGCTTTGACAAGTTAGACGCGAAGCTCACATTGTCACTTCTGAATCTCATGGCGAGCGAGCGTACCAAAGCTGCAACAATAAACCAGTCATCGAGCCATAATTGAAGCCCCCTCATGCGTCGTCCTACGATTCGACATGCCACCGTGGTGAATGCCAGAATCCAGGTTGTCACTGAAATCGCCACAATCAAAGGCCGTTTGTCTTGGGAGAGATCAATTCCCGAGGGCGGCGGAGGTAGTCCAGCAGAAGCCATGTCGCTCACGGTCTGGTAGTTCAGCCGAAGATCATTGCATCGCTGAACAGAAATAGGAGACCTCTATAGAGAACGGTGAGGGCATCGGGCTTTTTAGGGCGTCCAAAAGGCTGAGACTGTAGATTAAAACGGCTGGAGGAGCAAAGGGATTTCGAAGTGGTAACAGAAACTGAGAGTCAATATTCCCAATCCCGCCTCGTCGCTTGATCGTGTTGAGACAGATGCTTGAAACTGCCGTTAAACATGACCTGACTCTGTGTCTCATTCAGCACTCTGCCCGAAGGGATACACCGAGAAGCCACCCGCGCGTTTGTGCGTCGTTTCGTTCCCCATCAGACTGGAACAGGGAATTATCTCCCCAAGCGACCTCCCGATCCCGGGCTGAGGAATTGCCACAAAGGCAACCAAATTCTAACCAAACTGCCCATCGCGTCCAGACTCCAGAGTTTCTGCGGGTCGAAAGCTAAAACTATGAAAAGCATGCGTGTGTTAAAACAAAGTACCAGACTACACGGCTGGAGCGCTAGAGTCATGGCTTGCCGTTCCGAAATGTCGCAAAGCTGGACACAAGACACGGAAAATTTCTGGCTTGCGGAGAATTAGTCTGATAGTTTGTAAAGCTATTCCGGACACGTCCCTTCCGTCTACCCTGCGTCTTTTACCCTTGCGATGACATGTCTCACCGCGGCTGAACTAAAACAACTGCGACAGCATAACCAACCACGGGACTTGGCGGCAATCTCATAATAGCGCGAGGAGGTCCAACTTTCGCTGTCGTCTTTTTAGGCGGGCTGTCCACCCAGCCACATGTAAAAACGCTCTTGTTGCGAGTCCCCAAGGGACCAGTTTGCTCTTCGGAGCGTCGGTGACCAGAGACATGGCGGTCACAGATGACGCGATATGTTTGTGGTCTGTAAAAAGGTGTGCTCCCATGTACTCACTTGTATGCTGGGATTCCTCCGCTGCTCTGCCCTTTTCCAGGCATGAGAATGGTGGCGGGAAACTGATGCGGGAAAGGATGGCGTGCTGTGAGTGATTGACTTGGCAGGGGTTGCTCGTGTTGTAGGAGATTCTGTATATTGCCTGCTGCACAAGAAATGGGCGCCATGGATGGAGGTAAATTGAGATGCCGTCCATCAGCGCCGGAATTATTTTTACGCAGTCAGGAACCCGGGCAGGCCATTGATACTTGAACCACGAGCGCATCTTTCGCCATGGCTATAGCCCTGGAAAACCACCCGTCGTAACTATGACGGTAAACGCCGCTCCTCTGTGATCTTGCGAAAGGGAGCGGACCAGCCTCAAGAAGCTTTGATCGTCAAGAACCTCGAGACGTCTCATGGTCCCTTCGCGTTCATGCCCGGTGTAGCAGTGAAGGTTATTGGGAAACTTGTAATCTAGTTCACGGCCGCTTCAGGAACTCTGAGGAATGCCAAAAAAGGAAGTATGAGACAACGCCGGAGTAAAGGGAGTGTGGCTCTTCATGCATCGTACTTTATGGAGTAGACGAGAGCACCAACGCCACAAGGGAAACAATCTGGGGACGTACTTTTCATCTTCTTCAATTTTAGGGTTGATTTCTTTCCCCTCATGAACGACCCCTTTTGGTAACGCTCCGTTCAATAAACGTGTTTGTGTTTTCAGCCCAACATGATGAAAATCGGCGACAAGAATCCTTCGCAGCAAGCTTTGCGCTGCACCCGGTTAGTACAGAGTCAACCGAGTGATGATGTTACGGCTTCGTGAAGTCGTGAAGCACCTTGATTTCACTTGCGACTTACATAACGTTACAAATCAGCAATCGAAATCCACGGGTGTTTGTTTCCCAGTACGTTGCTTGTTCCAGAACAACCTGGCGCGTTTCGGCAGCTCCAGCCCTATCCGATTCCGATTGGCGACAAAGTCAATGTTTTGAAGTGTACCTTTTGCTGTACCATCTGGGACAAAGCGAATGAAAGCGCAATGCCATGGGCGAATCATGCATCATGCGCGATTGGGGATGCGGCTCGTTCAAAAACTGCTCGATTCGCTCCTGGCAGGTGTCCGAGGCGACCTGGCATTGACTTGGGATGCCAGGCGCATTAACTATTGGCCCGCAACTTAGTAACAATCATGTCTTCCCATCATTTCGCCGCTGCGTGATCTCGGGATTAGCGTAGGCATTGCTGCCCTTAGCCTCCAGTCCCCCGAACCAGGTTGTGTCGCCGGACAGCACCTGCAGCTGCATGCATGCTGTCTCGACTAGCCAGCGTAGTCCCAGCCCCTCCCCAAGACCTGACTATCCCCACTAATAGAAACATTTATAGTGCTTATAGTATGTTAAGAGATATTAATACTCTAGTAGGTGAACAATCTAATGCTTACCAAATTCTGCTTTGGTATAATAGGAAGAGCCGACCAGACATTAAAGGATTAAAAAGCGACGTCGCTATGAACACTTAGCCGCCACAAGCCAGTTCCGTAATACCCTGCCCCGGCCTGAAGCCAGGGGCTCACACCGCTTCTCGGCAGGTCCCAGATGTCCGATCATCCTGGCGGGTAGTAACTTAATCCATGCTCTCATCTCTCGTAGTAATATCTCTTCTAAGAGGCAGTACATAGTATACCAGCTTTACTTAAAGGTCCTTAATACTATCAGATATAGCCTTTTCTTTTTGGTTCTTACCCTTTTTAATGCTATTATTTTTAGGTTTTTTTTTCTGGGTATTTTACCCAGCACTTATCAATTATGTGACCGGTTCTGTAACAGTAGGTACACCCGTCAGCTTGCTAGTAAAATTGCTGAGACAAACGCGCCTGCCTCGATAAGTTCCTGTTGGTTTCTTCCCGGCCGCTCTGACAGCGTAGGCTACCCTATAAGAAAAATCTCCGCCAGAGGTGAACGTAATAAGTAGGGGATTCACCGGATTCTTTTTTTCTTAAAGAACCTACAGGGGGACTATATAGTCATGAAAATGTGAATTGCTCAGCGGGCTTACTTTTTTAGCTAGGTATACTTACCTTTTTTAATAGGTAAATATTTATTATATTTAAACTTTTT